AATCACAAGTCTGTCGGCGACATTCACTCTCGCGCCAAGCAGTATGTTATATGTTTTTCACACCAACCACATTTACTAACTCGACCCCAGATATCCTAACAGCACTGAGCATCTTTATTCCTTCATGCAAGTTATGACCGCCTGTGTTGCCTCCTTCGCTCATGGTGCCAACGACGTTTCCAATGCCATTGGTCCCTTCTCCGTCATCTACCACACCTGGTCCACCGGTACTGTCTCTGGTTCCAGCACCAAGGTTCACATCTGGGCTCTCGCTTTCGGTGGTGGTATGCTCGTCCTTGGTCTCGCTACCTACGGTTACAACATCATGGCAGTCCTCGGTAACCGCATCACCCTCCACTCGCCATCCCGTGGTTTCTGCATGGAACTGTCCGCTGCCATCACCGTCATTCTCGCCTCTCAATACGGCCTCCCCGTCTCAACAACGATGTGCATTACCGGTGCCACCGTTGGTGTCTCCCTTTGCAACGGCGACTGGAGGGCAACCAACTGGCGCGCTATTGGTTGGATTTTCCTTGGATGGGTTATGACCGTGCCCATCGTCTGCACATTTAGTGCTTGCCTCATGGGTATCCTCCTCAACGCCCCTCATCTATAAACCTATAGAGTTACGATTTGAGTTTTTCTACGTTTATATACTTCCTTCGCCTCTTTACCTCTTTTGTAATGGGTTTCTTGGGTGTTCGCCTACTGAATGACCGGGTAGCCTATGGTCCGCCACTAGCTACTACAGCTGGTGTAATGTACTTCCATTGTCTTGTACAAAAGCTATAAACTATTTATACCATCGGAAATTTGGTCCCATACATATCTTTGAAGATATCATGAACAATTAGAAGAAGTCAAGATCAAGATACAAGATAAGTTTGCCTATTGATTGAGATGTAAACAAGCGCCGGTTTGAAGGGTGATTCAGAACGCCACAGGATCGTCCCTTTACTTCGTCCGTTGTCGAGTCTATTCGATCGTCTCTTGAGGGTTTTTCGCTGCTTGTTCTGTGTCGGACGGTGTGGCAATACTCGAGCTATTTTTGCTCTGTTCCTGGGTACGAGCCTGTACACGATATGTGATATACTCCATGCTCGCTGTTCCTTGATGGAGGTAAGAATCGCAGAAATTATGTACAACGCATTGTGCTATGGCCATTGCATGCAATATGGATAATGGAATAACTGGAAACATTGTGGGGTGGCGTTACTGATTCACTTTGACAACTGTTCGGTCTATCGTGAACACTGCAGGTCTGGTTATGAGGCATACGGAGCGTTCAAGTAAATTTATGTGCCGTCCGTGTGTGCGTTGTTTCTGTTGGTGATGGCTGTTGAGTTCAGAATCACACAGCAAATTCTCAGCCTGTGCCCTACCATAAATCACGTGAGTGAAGACTTATCTGATAAGATGGAAGCAGCTTTAATTGTTTCTGGCTTCCTTTCCCTGATCTCTACTGCCTGCTGATTCTGCTGCTCCGCCTAACCCCACATACTTCTTACTTACTCACAGCCACCCTTAACGGTACACATTCCTTTATTAAACACACAGAAGCGAGATTATTGATATTTGCTCACGGCACCAGCAGCCACGACGATTACGTGTCTTGCGTTGAACCATTATCACATCATCCTACAACGGAAAGGCGTGAGCTGGTAGCCAGTATCCTGACTTTCGGGAACCTTCATACGAACGGCACCACAGACGTCTGACTCAAAGCCGGAATATACGGTACTCTCACCTAGGTGCATCATAGAACACGTTCCCGGGCTGTTATCCCTATATCCGCAGCCCTACTGCTATCTCTTTATCCGGAAGGTTGAGATCTGTCAGCTTAACGTTCAGGAGAAAGGGTTTCGAACTTGGGAGATCGATCTAGAGCAACCTTCTACTCGCTGCTATAAGCTAGCATTGCACCCTCATCTGGTTTTGCTTCTCTGGACCACGAAGCCACCATGGACATTACACCGACTAGGAGGAAACAGGAAGACGACGGGCAGGATGGTGAAGGGGACGGTTCATCCGTAAGCACCAGTGCTCCCAGTGAAAGTACGCTGCATCAGAGCGTGAGCTCGACATGGACACAAGCACGTTTCAGTGAAGGCCCAGATCCCGAGGTTAATCCCGTTCCAACAGTCGGGCAGAGAGATGGGCACGAACTGAAACGACGTCCATTGGACCCCCACAAGGAATCTCGCACAGACACGACACATCAACATTCGCGCCCACCACTTCCTTCAATGGCTAATCAACGCTCCTTGGCCATTGGTGGACCATCACACACCCTCCCGGATGATTCTGACCATGAGTCAACCAAGAACGGTCCCAAACTCGGAACAGCCGCACCCAACTCATCACCGTGCCCAACCTCACATCTTGCTATGCCAGATATCATGAGCAGTCACGACCAAGCTCAGCATGAACCCTCGGATAGTCGACCTCGCGACCCTCCCGTTGGCCCCAACACCGGTTCTTCTCTCATTTCTCCCTCGTCGCAATCATCGGCTCGCACTCGTCTTCCAGCTTATCTCGTTTCAGACAGTCATGACATAGAAGTTAATGCTGACGGCGAACAAACTCGTGTTTATTCGCTCCCACAATCATCATATGTCGCAGGTTGGACACCACCCTCAAGTCCATCATTCCCCGACTCAGATTCAGAGTCGGTCTCGTCTTTCCCGTCTGTTAATTCTTCGTTTTTCTTCAGTTCTGCAGGGGCCAGTCCCCATCTCCTGCCTATATACGATGCCAACCAACCCCTTGACGATCGACATGCCAGCGGGAGTGGCGCGCCGACCAGGCGGAGAAGTCGGCAAGCACTGCAACCAGGCGGTCATCCGCGAACTTCTAGCCGGGCACATGCTAGACGAGGGTCAGGTCCTACAGGCAGGGTTGGCCATGCTTCGCAGTCATCGTTGGAGAACTTGCCGCACAGCCAGAAACCAATTCCGTTGGCTGATCGCAAGGGTGGCGCACATGCTAGAGCACCAACTGCAACTACGAAAGAACCAACCATGGACCTTGCCATCCCGACTCTTTCACTTCCTTCCGCCTTACCGCGACCTACTCAATTTGGTCAAACGCTGGGTAGGATTAAGGTTGTCCTTCTTTCAGATCCTTCACAGAAGCCTAAATCAGACGCTACCTCAGAAGAGATAATTGAGAAGGTCATGCAAACTTTGATTTGGGATAACGAAGACATCGTGGATGCTGGAGAGTGGGAGATGATCGAAGCAGGATCTTCAGGTGCTTTCCAGCTACAATCCTTGCACGCTTCAACAGATTGGCTGCAACCTAAGCAATCCACAACCCATTCTCAGCCTTCATTTTATTCTGATGATAGGTCGGAGAGATTCGAGGGGAATGAGAACATCGAGATTGTCAGGGTATTAAGCATTCCTTCTTCTTCGTCATTGGGTAGTCTCACTGCTCGCTTGAAACGCCTTCTGGTCGGGCCATTTCATCAACTTTCATCACTCCTTTTACCTTCCTTATCTCTTTCTATTGACAACCAAGACGACGACGACACCTTTGATATAACTTCGGCGCTTGCCAGGCTCTTGGCTTCTTCTGATTCTACGCCACTGTTTACGGCTCTGGTAGTAGTGGTAGACCCAGCAGGTATGTTTGTCAATCCGCTTCCCTCAGGCGATCAGGCAGCTAACATGCGTTATAGGGCCAAGTGACTTACTTAAACCCCTTCTTCGAGAACTTTCTTCCTTGGTCCCAATCGTCATCCTTCCCCATGCTCCCTCAGCTCAGTCCTCTTCACGCTCTCGCCGAAGCTTCAGCTCTGCAGTTCCCAGAGCTAAACTCTCAGCATTTTCTCCAAATTCACTGCAATCCCTTCTTGTAGGGCTGTTCCGCGCCCCTGAGACGCTGAAGACGCTCAGGATGGAAGCGGTTGAACGTTTTTTGAAGTGGAGAGAGGTGGAAGGCGAGGTCGCTCGTTCTTTGGCAGCGTCATCTGGTATTCCACTATCGTCTTCGAATCTCAACGATTCTGTCTCTTCCGAAACTCAGCATCCGTTGGAGATCATCCAGTCCTCTGGTGGGAGACGTGTTGGGATGGGCGTGCGGTTGAACACGGGTAAACCGCAGCCCAAGTGGCAAGAGTGGAAGCAGCAGTGGGAGACGGAGTGGATGGAGAGCTTTTCAGTTGACGTTGCTAGTCGGCTGAAGGAGGAACGGGGCAATGAACAAACGCCGACGTATTCACGACCATCTTTTAAAGTACCCGGGGCAAGGAAGCATCTTAGGTTGACTGAGAGGAAGGATACTGATTTACATGGGCGAGAAGCAGGGGGTGATGAGGACAGGCCCTCAAGTCCATCTGCACTCATACCGACTTCACCTTTAGCACAATCGACAACTCTCCCTACTGACCCGCTCCACCTCCCATCTCTAATCTTCCTCTCCCTTTCCCTTCTCGGCCCTCTGAAACAGCGGTTGAGAGAGCGGATTAAGAACGTCTTCGCCATTTTCTGGGACACCAGTGTTCCTTTACCAGGGGCAATTTCAACACGAGAGTCGCATTCATGCAAGAATTGCGGCTTTGCCCTCCCACCAGTAACTAGACGAGAACACGAGATTGCCTCTCGTTCAATTAATCACGGAAATCGCAGGCTTGTGCTGGTTGGAATCGGTGGTTTGGTGATTGGTGTTGGAATTGGGCTCTGCGCGAGGTAGATTTTTATGTACGATCTTCTACAAACCATACATGCTTTACGACCTTTTTGATTTTTTTTTGTTATGTGCTGTAGCATTGTCATGTTTTTAGCATCACCCAAACATTTCACGACACTTCATTTGTACATGCTCCATGTACCATGTATTATTATTATGATATTCTCGAATTTTATGTTTACGACTTTCACGACCTTGTATTTTATATACCTACGCTGTGGATATGGGACTTCGAATTTCTTTACAGTACAAGAACAATATTTATTGGTTGGAAAAAAAAGTTCCAATGCAAGTAACCCAAAAAAGAATGCATTAAGAGGGAATCGAACCCCCGGCGGGTCGAGCTTTTCAAATCGCTCGAATGGCAACGACCCAGGTTACCACTACCCCATTAATGCTTATGACTGATACCTGAATTGTCGCCCCACAACGCTCTGGCAATTCAGCCTGCTTGTAGGCAAGTCCACACGAGCCTCAATCACCTCTACGTACTTTTTAGGACATGTTCTTAGAATATCGCTACGATGCAGCAGCCGAAATGTCTGGTATTGTACATTAATTGTGAAATCGAAAATAATAACTATCCTACAAGATGACAAAACGTTGAACGAAGAACAGGTTTCAGAACCATGAAGCAAGGAGCACAAGAAGGAAGAACGAAAGACACGATCTAAGCACGAGACACAAAGAAACACTATATCTCCGGCTCGTCACCAAATGGATCCCAATCGTCATCTTCGACATTATGAGGCTTATAACCCTCGTCCAGCTGATCCACCTCCTCTTCCGCAGCTTCCCTCTCTCTCTTCTTCTTCCCATAAATCATCTTCTCGTTCCAGGTGGCTTTGCTTAAATCCCCCTTCTCCAGTTCCTGTATCTCGAGGTCCCTTTCCTTCATGTACCCATGCTTTTTCATCCCATCTATCCGTTTCTCCACTCTGTCCATTTTGAGGAGCTGAGCTCGTGCCGCCGCACGTAGGTTTTCGCGAGATTTCGAGTTGAGCGTCGACGCGGAGAGAAGAGGGGCAATAGGTGCCGATGTCAAGCTAACACTTTGACCTACATTGGATTTGGACATAGCGTACGCCGCCTGAGGGAATGGTGTCTCTGCAGGTAGCTTGGAGGGGTCGTAACCGATGTGATGTGTTCGTATATGGGCATGGTATGATGAAAGAGAGCGTGGGGAGAGAGGATGCGAGGAAGGGAATATCAATGACTTTGACGACGTCGGCATAGATTCAGAGATGGTTTCCGTGCACTCATCATCAGAGACAAGACAAGGTAGAGTTGCTGAGGATACATTTCCCAAGTCGTTTTCGTCTTCTTCCCAAGTATCATCCAGATCCTCCTCGTTGGCGTTTTCTTCTTCACTCTGTTCTTCTGCGGCTTCTTCGTCCTCTTCCTCCGCTTCGTCCTCCTCCTCCTCATCCCTCTGCTCTTCGATGTCCTCCTCGTCTCCTTCCTGGTACTCCTCGCCTTCCGCATCGTCTTCATTGTCGGCATCATCCCCTTCAGACTCAATGGTTTGGAATTTCGGGTGGCCGGGCGAGGACTTTGGAGGGGATGAAGGAGGGAGGGGTGAACTCTTCCCCTCTTTGGATCCCTTCACTACTGGGCTAGACTTCCGTTTCTTCTTCTTCTTTGTTGACTCGTCATCGTCGGCATCATCATTTGCGAAAGGGTCGTACGTCTCCTTTTCTGAAAAGAAAGACCCATCCAAAATGTCCTCTTCATCGACCTCTTCGGCATTGTCGACGTTGTGGGTAGAGTGCACTGAAGGGCCATCTTCACTTTGTCTCGAGCTCTCATACATGCTATGCAAGCTCATGTTAGACCCACTAGGACGGATGCGTAGCGAAGGTGGTAAGCCCAAACGGGACACCAAGTAGATACCAAAAGCGTGAGGTGGGTCGTTCCATGACTCGATGTTCAACGCTGCGGAGGGGTCATCGATTTCCTGGGTAGCAGAAGGGAGCTCTTCATCAGACGACTCCTCCGCGTCAGAATCAGGTGCAAGAACGACAGGTGCTGGTTGAACCTCCAATGCTTGCGAACCCTCGCGTTTTGCCCTTTTCCTTGGGGATGGAGAGCCAGGAGGGGATGCGGATCCCCGAAGTGCCCGTTTCTTTCCAGTGCTTTTCAGAGGGGAGGAAAACCACCCAGCCTTTCCTGGACGAGGGGGCGAACTTCCCAGTACACTTGAAGAGAAACGCGGTCGTGGCAATGGCCTCGTACGAGGTGATAGACATAATCGTCCTCGAGCTGTAAAAATGTAAGGCGTATTTCCGTGACCTCGACGCTTGGGCAATGGCGTGTTGTTGACGGTTATGTGGACTTGCGTCCTATGGTCGTGATTCTAAAACAAATAGATGAGAATACGGAGCACAAAATAAAACAAGAGACATACATAGACAATGCCTGTCTCCAGAGAAAGACCTTTTGACCATACGTGCGAAAGAGTATAGTCTTGTTCATCCTCCCATCTCCAATCCCCCTCTTCCTTGGGAGGATCCAATCGTTCGTTGTCGTCCGCCAACTCGTCCTCGTTATCGCTCTCTTCCTCCATTTGCCAGCCAAATCTTGCTTTCCAGCTACCAGGATCACGCACATTGGATAGCTTGACTACAGTCTTGCCCTGCTTAATTTCCCCTGGCTTGTAAAGTTGACTGAACATAATCGCGTCGGATTTCACCTCGAAAAGATAGTCTTCATCCTGCCATGGCGTTATATTACCCCGCTCATCAACAGCAGTTGGCGGGATGTTGTGTCGCTTCCAGGTTTGACTTGACGTAAGGGCGAGATTTCCCAGTGAGGGTTCGAACAACCAATGGATGAGACAACGAAGATGAGAGAAAGTATAGTTGAGGGGAACCTGAGCGATACGATGCACCCCACCCATCTTAGGGCTGAGTGAAGGTCTTCCTGTGCGAACGACTTGGAAGCGCAGGGGTACATGCTTGCCAAAAGAGGTTACGGCAGGGAGGGTATGTAACAGTCGTTCTGTACGTTTTCTCCCAAATGGATTTGTGGGTGAGTCAGAAGGTTGGGAGGGATATGGTGTGTAAGGAGTACTGCATGTACTTTCTCCAGGTGCAGGCCACATATCACTGTTGGTATGCGATGTTGAGGTCCATGGGCAGGGTGAAGATGCGATTGAAGAAGATTGTGTCCTTTTGCCTGGTGTTCGCGTTGGCATATGTGTTGGGACCTTAAAAGGACTATGTGACGCGTTGACGGTCATTTTAATGGCTTTTCTAGCAAAATATACGGGTTTCGCGAAGGATAACGCGTTGTGCACCTGGTTTCGTCAGAGTTCCTTGGGCAAGTCGCGTATCGTTGCCCTGCTCGCTAAATGGCGGACTAGAGTAAACAACCTGGAAATTTTTATAAGTGCGATGATTTACCAGCGTAAATTCTAGTTACCAGTGGTCCTTGGATGTTGAAGATGGTAGAGTCCAGTATCGATTTTCTGTTGTTGAGCAGAAACAAAACCCAGTGCGTCCAATTTCATCCATATGGGCACATGAACGCGATCACGTGCATCGTGTTCAATGTGGGAATTTCCACTAATCACTATGTTTAGGGGCTTGCTTTCTTGTTTCAAGAAACCTCAGCAACGGTCATGTAGTTGCTATATACATGGGAATACCACCCGCTCAGATTTTTTAAGACAACAAAGTTCGGTTCCAATGTTATCCAGCTGACCGCTGGTAGAATAGCAACGGAGAATCATCGGATATTTTACTGGGTATATATCCAGTCCCTTTCTTTCTCATCTAATTGTAGCTTGTTTCCTTTGGCATCAGAAGGACATTCTCATTATAACATCAGATCATATTTCACTCGTTATTCATCATGTCTATTCTCCAAACGCGAGATGGGCTTCCCGCTGACTTCCCCTTTGGCTTTGCGACAGGTGCTGTATTGTGCTTCATATTGACGCTCGTCGTCATGAATTTGAATGTATATCGCTCATCACAAAAATAGCTGCCTATCAGATTGAAGGCTCTCCAACGGCAGACAATCGTGCTCCATCCATTTGGGACACTTTCACCCACTCCGGGAAGCAGGTCATCGCGGATAACTCCTCAGGCGATTTCGCAACGGATTCTTATAACCGGTGGAAGGAAGATATTACCCTCATCAAGAGCTATGGAGCCAACTCTTACCGTTTTTCTTTATCCTGGTCCCGTATCATTGACTTTAATGCAAGAGAGGGAGAGACAGCCACTGTTCCGAACCAAGCTGGAATAGCTCATTACCGAAAGATCATTGAAGAATTAATAAAAGCAGGGATCACGCCGTGTATTGTATGCAACTCTATCAGAGGCACGCTTTTACTTCTGACACCTTCGCGTATAGACTCTTTATCATTGGGACCTTCCTCAAGCTCTTCACGATCGTTATGGAGGGTGGCTTGATCGAAACATTGTAGATGACTTTGTTAAGTATGCAGATGTACGCACACGGCCATCCCTTGCCGAGTGCAGAGCGCTCATTCGATTAATATTGACGTTTCCCTTAGGTATGTTTCGAGGCATTTGGAGATCTCGTCAAGAACTGGTAATGTAGCCCACTCTTCATTAAAGTCAGACCTTGTATCGAGACTGCTAATCAGGATCACCATCAACGAGCCTTGGGTTGTTTCAACACTTGGATATGGCTACGGAGTATTTGCGCCTGGAAGGTCTAGTGACCGATCCAAATGTGCCGAAGGCGATTCGTCTACCGAGCCTTGGATGTAAATCGTTTTATCAATCCGAGAAAGCAGACAAGCTTATTCTCGATGCCCGCAGCGTCACCCATAACCTCATTTTGGCTCATGCATACACGGTCAAGGCCTTTCGAGAAAAGTTTCAACCCAGATATGGCGGGCAAATCGGTATTACTCTTGATACTCCCGCTTACCTGCCGTGGGACGAATCTCCAGAGAGTAAGTCATGGAGTGCTGTTGTTTCAAGTTTTTTTAATACCTTAAAACATGATCTGGCTGTAGATATAAAAGCTACCCAGGATGCATACGACATCCGTCTGGGACGGTTTGCAGATCCTATTTTCAAGGGTCACTATCCCGAATCTTTGGGTCAGCGACTCGGAAGTCGCCTTCCTGTCTTTTCAGCCGACGACATAGCCGTTGTTAAAGGGTCATCGGACTTCTTTGGGTTGAATACTTACACAACAAATCTCGTCAGTGAGTAATACATGGCACAGCTTGTCTTATGTAGGAGTTGTTAAAAATATTCTGGGCAGAACCTCAGAAGAGTCTACTCAATGAGGACGGACCGGCACACAAACGTGCTATGCACGATCTTACAGCTGCCGAAACGACCTTCATTCGACCTGATGGATCGCAATTGGGGACACAAGGTACTTTCTTATAACGAATATAATATTTTAA